GGACCCCTCCCCTTTCGCTCCGCGGGGACCCCCCGCCTCCCCTTTCTCCGAGTAGGGGGGACCCTCCGCGCGGGGAGAGGGGGAGCGGGTGGTCCCTGCGTCGCCCGGCTCTGCACAAAGCGCCCTTCTTCCCGGCGCCCCTCCCGCTCTGCCCGAGCCCCCCCGCCCGTCGGGGGATGCCAAGGGGGGGTCACCCCTCGCCTTTGTACCCGGCTCATGCAATCCCCTGCATCCGAGGGCGCGGACTGCCGTGACCCCTGAATGAGGAGAGTTTTGGGTAAAGAGGGGGTCCTCCCTCATCTTTGTGCCCACTGCAGGCCCTCAGCATCCCGGGACAGGGGCTGCCACGACCCCTGAATGAGGGGAGGGGCACAAGGGGATCGCCCGATCTATGCAGCCCCCCAGATCACAGCATGGGGACCACTGTGACTCCTCAATGAGTGGAGAGGCAAAGGAGGGTCACTTGGCTCACGTAGCCCTGTCTCCCAGGGTGTGGACTGCCATGACCCCTGAACGAAGGGTGGGGAGGCACAGTGGGATCACCCCCTTCTGCCACTCACTGCACCCTCTGCAATTCCCAGGGCACTGACCACCATGATCTCTAAATGGGGAGGGGGCTGCTCTGCAACCTGCAGCTTGATGGCCCTGCATGGAGACAGGGATGGGGACGCTTTCTCTTCCCCCCCCTTCCCGTGTGACAGTCCCGTGGGGCACTGGCTGTGGCTGCATCCTGCTCCCTGCTGGCACGTGACGGCTGTGGGTGCTGACTGTCCCCTCTCTTCTTCCCAGTCGCTGCTTTTCCTGGGCTTGGTGGCTGCTGTCTGCCTCGGCCTCAACCTCCTCTTCCTCACCGTCTACCTGATCTGCTTGTGCTGCTGCAAGAGGCACCAGGAGCCCGAGAGGAAGCGACCCCACTCCTGCTGTGTCACCTGGATGGCTGTCACTGCCGGGCTCATCTGCTGGTGAGGACTGGGGTGGGGACACGGGGCTGTCCCTCCATCACCGAGGGGGCTCTGTGCTCCCACCATTAATCACTTTAATTAGGTCTGTGCAATTAAATATAGTCCATCCCTTCCTTCTTGGGCATAGCCACCCATGCTGGGGCAGCCCCGGGGAGCAGCTGGGCAGCCCTGTCCCTGTCCCCACCATGGCCAAGCCTCCTTCCCAGCTAATCCCGGGTGGGATCGGGGCCGGGTCGCTAATCCCAGCCCGGAGCAGATGGTGGGTGGCAGCGTGACCCAGCTGGCAGGCCCCACGTGCCCGGCGTTAATTGCAGCCGGAGCAATTAAATGAGGGGGCACTGCTTCGCCTGGCAGCGCTCTGGTGGCTTCCCAAGCCCTTCTCAGGAGGACCCCTGCCAGCCACCCGTGTGTCCCCCAGCAGACCTGGCACGGGACACGGGGCCCTTCGGCTGCCCCGCTATGACCCACCCACCAGACAAAGGGGCTGGTTTTCCTGGGCAGAGCAAGCTGATGCCTGCAGGCGTTGGACAGAGCTGGGAAATGGCACTAATGAGCTTGGCGTGTTCCCCCCCGGGATCCTCCTGCTGCTCCAGCCTCAGGGCACCCACCAGCAGGCAGCAAGTGTTCATCCTGCAGCTCCCCAGGGGCTCTGAAACCCCCCCTGGCAGGCAGGCTGAGCCAGTTTGCAGCTGCTAAAGGCCAAACCGTGGCCAACGTGCCGGTGTCTGTGTTTTACCAGCGCGTGCCGTGGGGGAGGAGAGGGCACCGCGCGCCGGCCACGTGCTGGCATGTGTCTGTCTGGCCAGGGCAGGGACACGTCCCTCAGAGCTGGCTCCCACCTCCAGCCTGGCATTGCTCACTGGCACACCAGATTCCAGGGAGCACCAAAGTGGCTGGGGAGAGCTCACCAGGGGGCCTGGGCAGCCATGGCACAGCCCCCAGCCCCACCGCCTGCCACCCCCCCTGGGGCTGAGCCCAGGAGCAGGTTTATTCAGGAATCCCTTCCCGTGGATTCCCCCAGTCTGCTTTGCCCAGCCCCTCTGCCCTCAGTCTCCTGGGGTTTGGCAGGAGCTTCAAACCCACCATGTCCAACAGATGGACCAGCTCTGGGCTTGTGTCCCCCCAGCCCCACAGGCACAGCAGGGAGCAGGTCCACATCCCCATGCTGTCCCTGCTTTGGCCCTGCCCTGCCAGGAACAGGGGGTCCCCACATCCTCCCTGGTCCCGAGGCAAGGCACCCGTGTTGGGGTGAGCATCTCCCCCCCCTCTAACAGGGGGACCCCTCTCTGCCCACAGCGTGGCCGTCGGCATCGGCTTCTACGGGAACAGCGAGACCAACGACGGGGTCTACCAGCTGCTCTACGCCCTGGACCACGCCAACCACACCCTGACTGGCATGGACTCGCTGGTAGGGCCACGGGGCAGGCTCCCCCCATCCCATCTCCTCCCTGTCCCCCAGGGTCACATCCATCCCCCATCTCGGGTTTGGTTAAAGCACCGTGGGAGCCTCCAGCTGGAGGGGCTTGGGCATCCTGCGCTTGCTGGA